ATCATTACTGGTAGTTAATTAACGTGAAGCTAATATTCAATTATGTTTCGTAGCTAAAATATGTTTTGGAAAAGAAATTGCGAAGTAGGAGGTGAAAAGATCGATAAAATACATTTAGATCAATACTACACCATTATATCGTACATTCTATGAAGCTACATATATTTTTAAATAGATTGGACGTTCTAGCAGTAAACCGTAGAAAAAGTAGTAGATGATGGATCACGTTAAATATTTCTCGTACTGTACGAAAAAGCATGGAATGCAACAATGCTCAACTGTTTGCTGTGACAGTACATGACTGATGTTATCAAGAAAGATACTATATGATATGTACATTTATGTACTTCCTTTCCTCGAAAAACTGTTACCACGACATAAAAATGGTCAAATATTTTTTAAGTTAAGATCTGATCAATCGGATAATCGCACGATTCTTTTATTTTCCTTTCAAAAATAATTTCATCTAGAATTAACTGCTGATCGAGATATCTATATATATATATATACATTTTTCAAGTGACAATCGAATACTCTTACCTTCCAGTATCTTTGACAACTCCGTTGACACCGTAGGGACGTGGAAGAGGAATCTATCCGTCAGCTGATCATCGTACTAATCGCTGCTCGATGATGCTCACCACCACTAATTCACTGTCACAGAACGTGTCACGATAATACCGTAATATGACATCGTTGACGATACTCGAATTTCCTATTCCGCGTTTTGACAAAAAACAAGATAGTAAACCACCGCGAATCGTGGGGAAAATTAAAACGAACAACAATGCGACGAAGAATACTCCCGTAAACGGAACCCGAATGAAAACAAAAATTATACTATAATTCTACGCAGCTACGTATAGCGCTTACAAGCGCTCGACGGTCGCTACACTAACTGCCGCTTCTTTGCTTGAATTTCGACTACCCCAACCGGCGCCATCGTCACAGCCAATCACCATCGACTTGCGCACCATCCGTCAGCTCCCCCTCCACCAATGAACGCGCGAACCTGCCTCGACCAAATGTTTTCGCGTTTATCTCCGTCATTGTACTTCGAGTGTGAAATTTTCATGTGAACTGTTGTGAGATATTCGTGAAATTAAATACATATTATGCGATTTGATAGATCGCTAATTCTGTACAAAAAACAACGTACAAGTGCAATATTTTTGTGGAATATGAAAAGTGTATGTAAACGTGCAAGGATGATATATCATATACAGTAACAAATAATCTGATACAAGATAACCGACAGTTGGACATTTCATCTAACGGAATTCGACTATTATACGGTTTCAAATATTTTCCTGGTATGATTTATTCGAGTAAATTATTTAAATGAATGGTACTCTAATGACATTTTAATACGATTGGCATAAGTAATTTAACATATTAATAATTCATTGAATGGCAAAATATGCCTTGTTGATTTATTTGTAACATTCAAGAAAAATGTATTACATTCTTATATTTTAAATCGATTCTGAAATGTGCGTAATTAGATACAAAAATAGGACAGTGATGAAGTCCTTTCTTTATAAATTTATTTTTCGTATTTAAACACATTCAAAGATCTAGCATGCTGAGTGATCTTTTTTAAAAAATAGTGTAATTAACAGAAAATCAAATTGGTAAGAAATGAAAAATTTTAAACTTTTACCAAAAAAGAAATAGGTTAAACTATGAATGAAATATAGGTTAGACCTCATACGCAGTGTATTTCTTTTACCACACGATATTCGAGAGTCACCTGACATCCTTATCATTTTCGTGTCACGTGCGACTTTATCGATTTAATATCGAGAAAAACTGCAGCGCCAATGAAACGGTAAAATGTGTAGTTACATGTATCAATACTTGATTGTCATCGAAATAAATCCAAGAAATCCATCTAGCATTGTTTCTCTACCAATGGCGATGAAACAAGACAGATGGCAAATAATACGTAACTATTTTATGCAAGGAACTTTAAAATCTCGATACCATTTTAATACAACTTCCAACATTACCGATTCAGCACAGAATAAGATTGCATCAGTAGTAGTTAGAATTAAAACTAAAATGCATTGTAATCTAGGACGGTATATTTTATAAGTGTAAACAAAGTATAGCATTTTATACTACTATAATACAGAGCTTTTAGTTGGCACCACTTTCTAAAGAGAAATATTTGGAAAACAATGCTAGTTACCAAGTAAGAGACCCCGATTTAACTTGCATTATTTAAACACGGACAAGCAAAAAATGCAATTAAAATTACCACGCGCTAATGAACAAACGAAGTTCAAATTACTTAAAAAACTATCCTATGTATGGCACCCCATGTATAAGATAACTCCTTACTTCGACACCATCGGACGATCAGTGTGCGATCATTGTGATATTCGCCACATCTTACATGAGAACGTGGGTAAACCGTACGAACGATGTTTACCAGGACAACTCGAGGATCCCTAGCAAGATCTTGTAACTGGATACAATTAAGAAACTATCCCATGAGTTCTGACATGCAAGCATGTTATATGTCTGCATATTTTTGGGCCTATGCGTATACATATGTACGCAGAATAACTAGAATCAATTCGTATTAACTTCACGAACGCTTTGAGTCCGACAACGTTCCAACGAAGTCGAATGGTTTAATACGAAACGAAATACAAAATAAGGAAGGCAAAAAAAGGAAAAGAGAATCGAAAACCTAAGAAACCAAGGAATCAGTCCAACAAAATAACACAAGATCAAGTTAGAAGTGGAGCAACAATAGACAGACATGACATCCATTAATAATCTTTATATCCTCATAGTTACTACGATAATCAGGTGATAGTTTGTTTATTGTCTTTCTTATGTTTTTATATAAAAAGTAACAAATCTCAAATTAATCAATTTCTTGACAGTCCAAAATATTTTTTAATTATATGAATAATTCAATTATATACAAATTCAATTGTTAGTAATAAAGTAATAACTAATTTGTTAAATAATTAACAAATTGTTATTAATTATATAGAGTGGAGAGTGGGTGAAATGGACTATAGTTACTAGCTAGCTTATCGAATATGAGTCATGGTACTAACTGATAACTATCGTCCAGCGCATTCACATTTCAAACTCAACCTGGTTAAACTTCCAACGTGTTTAATCCCAAGTCCAATTGACAAATGAGATAGAACTTCGGTGTCACAGTCTTTATATAGATTACTATTGCCGACGGTTGGCCGAAAATTCACGAACGTTGCCGATTTCTTTAATAATTAGTTTTATTGTAAATTTTTATTTTTTTATTATAAATTTGCAACCTGATAAATTTAATAACTTATACATTTTTTTCGTGATAAATTGATTTTTATATTCATACTCTTTCAGGCTTGAGCGTATAGCTAAGTGAAACACTTTTATTTATAAGGTAAATATAATCTCATAGCAATTACAAATAAGATTAATTAATGGCCATAAAATTAAAAGTTATATAACTATGAGCGTATAATATACTAGTGTAGAAAATGTAAACAGTTGTAGTGTGGTAAGCTGGAATAATATACTGCAATTCAGAGATCTATGAACATTTCAAAGTTTTTCTCTGTGATTCTATAATAAAACATTCTTTTCGATAAATGATCTAAATATTAGAAAAAAATTATATTCTTTTGGAGAGAAATCAAAAGAGAAATATCATACTTGCTCCAAAATAAAACATAAACAAATTCATATGTAACATTATTCTTGCTTTTTATAATTATTTGTTAATTTATTAGTCTGTACTGTTCAAATTACCGCTTGCATTAGAAATGATACTGACATAGTAAGAAAAGACAACCGTAGCTTTATCATTTCCTTTATCGACCTTGATGATTTAGGCTAAATGTAATTCCTAAACTCACCACTCTAAATTGTAGAGGGCATAACAAAAGTTCTGAATTATTCGCGTGTCGGTATTTTAGTTTGTGTGATATCATACGATTCGACAAGTCTATGCTGTATCTGCTTTGTGCTACTTAGCATTAGAAAGACTGTCCTGTTAAACTTAATGATACTACGTTTCTCAACCAAACAATTAACTTTAATTTTTCTCTGGTATCTATTTTCATGTACCAAATAAATATATAGTGACATCTATAGAAATTATTTCAGACCTATTTATATAAATTTCCTTATCAAGATTGCCATTCCTTTATCGTTACAAGCTCAACGTTAAAGCTGAGACATCATTGTCAGAATAGGGTACAATAAAACAAAGATATATTTTAAAAAGAACTACATTCCTTTTATTATACAAAAAATCAGTAATTTGTACAAAAAGGTGTACTTATATTCTAAATTGTTCATAATGAAACGGACATTTAGAAACAATCATTCTCTAAAACTGTATAAGCAAATATCCAATTCGTACCTTTAATCGTAGTATGAAATTCGTTACGAACTTCGAACATACTGCACTCATAATGTACACCAATCAGTAGTTTATCTTTTCCTAATCACGCATATCGTTCGCAAAACTATAGCAATTATAAACACACATTCTTTTATAATCCGTACATTGCGTACGAAATCTAGGTAACAATTATATATTATGTATATCATTGTTTTATTTAAAAAGATAGAAAAAAAAAGAAAAAAAAAAGAATCGTAAAGTGGCACATCTCTTGAGATTTATTCCCATGAGATAATCGGCAAAATAGGAAAATACGATCGAGTTGAGTAAATTAATGTGGACATGTGTTCGACATTGACGAACTGGAATATGAAAAACGTAGTTCCTTCTTAGCTCGAATAACAAGATAACATTTTTTTTCCTTTTTTTTTTTAGTTATTCTTGCAACATATCCGAATCCCACCACCATTTGTACTATTTTTAATTTCACAATCCACTTACGAAGATCGTTGCAAAGTAAATAAAAAACTTGGAGATTCTTTACTAACACTCCGAGTAATAAGAAGGAAGAACATTGAAATAATAGCTAAAATAAGTGTATAGAATTTGCTAAATTGCTTTAGGATTACGACGATTGAGCTGCCAGCATTTCTTCTTGCTGTATTTTTCTGCGGTAGTTGTCCAAAGTAACTTGTATAGTCTTCTCAGAATATCGGCAGTTTTCGGCTCCACAGGTACATGTGAATGACTTGCATTTTATTATCCAGAATTTCTCTCCATAATCGAAGCTGAAGGCAAACAATTCCGTATTGATCTTCAGTGATAAATATATTACATTAATGAAAATCGATGTTCAAGAAAGAGAAGGAAAAATGAATACGTTCCTCGTAACCTTGAAATGTTTTTACAGCAGATTGATAATACGTTCTTCTTGGTGGAATTAAATGCGTATTCCGAAACTTACCATTTTCAAAATCAGTGAGAGAAAAGGAAAATAAAGTAATAAATATTATACTCGATATGTCAGTTTATCTATTTTAAGATATGGAAACAATATTAAGCTCACATATTTGGAAAGAGCGAAGCAGAATTTTAAGAAAGTGTAAGGCGAAGAAACTAAAATTACCAGCGATAACGATTAGGCAACCAAAACCAAACCAGAAGTGGTTTATTAACCAAAAGGAATAGCATGAAACGTCGTTTACTAATATGTACATGTGTTGTGATTTCCACGTGCCAATCGTTTTTTTTTAACATACCCGAGCTCTTCATCTGCCTCGATGTCGCGATTCGCAAAAAATGCTATCCTAGGAAAATGCAAATCCTGATGCTCAACAAACACTCGCACTGGCAAGAGATTGGGTGCGCAAGAATGATTTATAAAGCGAGCAATGTTTCCATATCGTCTCGCATCAATACAATATGTTTCTCCATCCTACATGCGTACAGAATTCAATCTTTATTCAAAATATTCAATTTTGTACAAATATGAAATGTTTGATACTCACTCTGTTATCTAAATCAAACAAATAGGAATCATCCTCTCGATGATCTGCTTCCGAATCCGAAATTATCTCGCCAACATATTCACATACGTAGGAACCTTTCGGAATGTGCCGTAGCGTTCTAAGTCCCCATCCTTTACCTTTGGTTCGGAATAATTGAAACCTTTGCGTTAGACCATGTTGAATAACACGATTGTTACACGTTATGCGATTACAGTCGCACGCTGGATTGCACTCAAACAACATTGGAGGATCTAAATAAATGAAAAAGGAGAAGATATAAATATTTATCCTATACGTTAGAGATACAATATCCAAGCAACATATTTAATATACCGGCATAATTAAATTCAGGAATTAATTTTCCTTCTTCGTCATACCAACATCTTAAACTTATGTTTCCACATAAACATTTTTCTGAACTACAGTTATCTTCACATCGACAAGATTGTAAAGATGTTATCGTACGATCAACATTTATATTACTAGTAAAACAATTTTCAGTCACATAGAGAAAATCTGTTGGTTTATCTTCCGAGTCGTATCCATTGACACATTGTATTGGATTCGTCTCTTTACCGCGTGAAATATCGCTGTAAAAATAAATCATTAAGCATATTTTGTTAATACCGCTCTTACCGGAGATAAAAACACGTTAAATCTGATAATCACTTAGTTAGTATTTTGATTGTTTTCTCCCACATATGTTCTGAAAGTTCGTTAACTTTGGCATTTAATCTTAAAGCAGACGTAGTATCACCGTCATTCGTACAGCAATTTACTGCCGTTTCTCCTGCAGCATTAACTTCTCCTATTTTAGCACCACGTGCTAATAGAAGAACGCTAACTGCATATTGATCTTGTCTTGCAGCTATATGTCTACAATGTTATTAAATATTATGTACAAAAAATTAGTTATTTTAAATGTGGTACGAAAAAAGTTAGCCATCAAAAACTTACAAAGGTGTATCACCATGAACGTTAACGGCGTTCACATCACAACCTTCATTAAGTAGCATTTCTGTGATTTCTGAACTTCCGCTAAAAGCACTCCAATGTAACGCAATGTTTTGTTCTGCATCTCGTATTAAAGGATCGCACTTCTTATCCAACAAAAATCGTGCGACATCAGTGTGACAAAATTCACATGCCCATATTAAACTAGTCCATCCACCATCATCCACTGAATCTAATGGCATATAAGTAATTGTTGTTACATATAATATTAAACTAATTCAAATAGTAAAACACTACCTTTAATCAAAGTTTAATTACCTACTAATGTTCTTGGTGCCTTGCATTCTGTCAAAATAATTCTACAAACTTCTAAATGACCAGATTTAGCAGCCATATGTAAAGCAGTCATACCATCTTCTCCTTTCAGTGTCACGTCAGCACCTATTCTTATCAAATATTTTACCACATCAGCTTTACCCTTACTGGCAGCTAACATCAAAGGTGTTAACTGATTTCTATCCATCACATCTAATTGAGCGCCTGCCTGTACTAATACGTGTACACAAGATAAATGACCTTTATCTGCGGCTATATGAAGGCCAGTCCGATGAGCATAATCTCGGAATGTATGATTTGCATTGTATCCACATGCTAAAACGTTAGGATAATTTACGACTGACTTTTTATTATTTTTAAACAGAAATGGCAGACTAACGCACCTAAAACGTTAACCAATTTTTCCAAATCCCCATTCTTTACAGATGTATAAAGACTCATTATAGTATAACGTTCTGGTCTTTCAGAATTAACAGATGGCTCAGGTATTTTAATAATATCTGGCTGAATCAAAGGACTAGGAGGACGTTCCGCTAATTTTGTATTATCACCTTTCCCTGGTAAACTCATCTTTGCAGAAGGCAGTTTTGAAAATTTCTTTCGGGTCGGAATGAATACAGGTTTCCTTAAGCCACTCATGGTGACCATTACATCATATGCAGTACTTTCACTTCCACAGTGAGGACATACACCTTTTTTATTTGGATAAATCTCACATTCACGATGGTATTGATGACCATTAATACATTGTACAAATTTTCCTTGTGAACAAAACAATCCACAAGAAGGACAACAATTATGCCTTAAAAGCCTTTCTTTATGCATTCGACATAATATGATGAACGGAACACGTGTACTCGGTCTTCTCATTGCCACGTCATTGCTATCAACTTCGTTGCAACATCCTACCAATCTATTGTCAATAGAATCTATAGCTGTACAGTACAATGGTGCTCCAGAACCAGTTATTGTTACATACAATTGAGACCTTACTTGACATAAACATAGCATTGACTGACCATATGTCTGAAAGATATAGTGAAAAGTATTATGAAATAAAAATCAAATAAAATAAAAATATTAAATAAATAATAAACACATATACTATTATACCAACTTCACTCATGATTGCTGTTGATTCTGGTTTTGAAGCTTGTCCTTCTGCAGGACTCGGACTTGGAGCCATACTTCTCCTTGTTCTTTTAGCTGGTACAGTGCCTTCTACAGTCATAAATAGATTAAAATAATCATTTTTTACAACGACTATATTATTATATAGTATATTAAGGAATCTTAAAACATTACCTTCAGGATAATCATTGTTTTTGCCAGTTTCTGCAACTGATACAGGTCCATCTAAAAAAGTATAACACAATTTATACTGCAAAAAATACATTATGCAAAAGTGAAAATTTTACATTTTTTTCTATACCTTCAAATGAATCTGCTTTTGCTATTTTCCTTGCTGCTTGACTTCCCCTAGGTCTACCTCTTTCACGTTTAGGTCTACCAGCAACAGGTTTCAGAAATGGCTTTTCAATATCTGCTAAAGATATGTCATCACTTGTTGAACTGCCAATTGAGTTGCTCAGTTTTGTTTGTGATTCTGAGCTTTTTATCATAGGAGATAATTTTGGCATACCATCAAAGTCAGATGAAAAATTTTGTGATTCATCCAAAACTGTTTCATTTGCATTATTTTCTGATATGGTAGAATTTCTAGAATATTCTAAACTTGAATTTACCTCAGAAATAGTGATATTTCCATCTGAAATAGAAGACTCTATTTCCTGACGTATGTCAGGAGGTTTAGCTTGCAACTGTTTACTTTGATCCTTTCCTTGTATCACCTTTTTAGGTCTTCCTGGTTTATTATACTTCCTCTGTTTCTTAAATTGTAAATTTTCTTCTGTATAATTAGATTTTTCTTTTCTTGCCATTGCACTTTCTAACACAGTACTCTTCAATGTTTCTTTACATAGTCTTCTTGAACGTTTGGGACCTGGAGGTTCTTCAGTATGATCACTAAAAATGTCATGGAATGTTTACAAATATCATGCATAATATTTTACATATTTGAGATGAAGGAAAATAAAAAACCTAAGTGCTCTTAATCTAGGCCGTCCTGTTCTCCTTTTCCTAGTAACTGGAACTGTGCTGTCTGCTTGATCCACTTGTTCTGTAGGTTCTATTGATGTATTTGCTCCATCAGTCTTTGCTTTTTCATTAGGAACAGTGCTTTTATCTTCTGCTATTACTCCAGTATCTTCCTTTGATGATTTTGGTTCTTCTACATTTTCCTTTGTTTCTTTACTTTTAGATTCTTTAACCAATTCTTCTGTTCTTCCTTCTTCAGAATCAGATTTCTCAACATTGTCGGAGTTTTCATCTGAATTTTCAATTTTAACAGAAACACCGCCAATTTGATCACAATTTGCTAATTCATCAGGAACTAAAGTAAGGTTGGAAGAGCAGCTTGATATCTTGGTCTTTTTACCATGATCAGTATTTTCGTCTATTGTCCTGAATGTAAGGACGATACGCGGAATTCCATTATCCTTCTTTAAAACTTCTGGTTTTCCAGTACTTTCATCCTCTTTATTTTTTTCACCTGTTAATGTTGTTTCCCCGGTGTTTTGTTTTGTTGGAGCAGCTTCTTCATTCTTACCTCCAGCAGATTCTTTGTCCGCGGCTGACATTTCATTGGGGGTCACCGCCGGTTTTTCGATCTCTTCGTGATCGGACTTTTTTGACCGGTTAATTTCTGCACTTTTGACGGGACTCACACTTTTGTTAAACTCATTCGTCATACCTTCGAGGATCTGTTGAATACTGACCTTATCTTCGACCCTCTCGGCAGCCATATCTTCCTCTTCGCCCCCTTCTTGACAACCCTCCATCGTGGCATCTTCTTTGCTCTTATTCTCCGACATAATAGCAGATTTTAACTGGAAACTATGTATCTTTACACTTAAAACACTACCTCATTGTAAAATTTAGCGGTCAATTAATTATTTGCAAAATGCTGAACGATTACTGAATTGTACTGCAACGTTGACGATGTCTTCCGCAAAGTACAAGTAGCTGCAAACGGCAATGGAATGCCTTCTAAATTTGTTTCTGACTGAATATTACCACTGAAATTTTAGTAAACACCATGAAAATATTTCTCCTTACACTTTTCAACAGCTTGACTAATTATATTATCACAGAAACCATTTGTTCTAAAGATTTTTGGAGAAATATCTACACTACGTTAGCGTGCCCCGCGTAGACCTGGAGGCCATATTGATTACTCAGGGACGGGCCGATTCGAGTGAAGAATTTATTTTTAAAATGATCTTCAATCAAACCCTTTTCGTATAAAATTATATATTTTCTCAAAATTTTAAAATTTTATATGATACCATTAATACATTATATTCCTTATTAATAACACTAATATACAGAAATTACTTGAAAAATGTATAATATGCATATCTATATAATACACGATCATAAGTCTATGCACCTACACATTGAAAACAAAAAAGATAATGAATTCTTGGGTAATTCATTACACTCAGTTAAATCAAAAGAATATTTTGTACTAACTTCAATTTTTCCCGAAACTTATTTCTCTTAGAATTAGAAAATAATAAAAAATTGAAAATTAATTTACCGTTTATACGATTTCATGCAAGGTTCTAAGTTTAATAACTTTAGAAAAGATTCATTATTCACATTTTTATATACATATCTATTTATATAAAAGAAGTAAGGTCAATGTACACGTGGTATACTTCATTATTAGTGATAAATGTAGATTCCAAAATTGCATTCTTCAGCATAATAATGTTAACTTAATTATTTTGTAATTTTATTAATAGTTTTATTTAAAAAAGAAATTATTTCAGTTAAATGAAACCATTACGATGCACTAATAGCATCGCGCATGAGCACCTGACAAAAAAAATCGCTTCACGTTACGTGGCAGTACATGACAAAAATACATTGTAACTAATAAATAGCAGTACCAATTTGAGGTAGATAATCACAAATACTAGAGAATTAATCTTAAATTATTTTAAAATTTAATCAAAGGTAAATGAAACAAGTCAATGGTATCGTATAAATATAAGTTTATTTACATTGCAACAGATCCTTTTGTCAAATAAGCGACAAAGGTGATTACGAGTGTAGACTGAACAAAGTTAATGAATAAATGTTAATTAAAAATAATAATTACAACGTACTAGCCCAAACACGCCTCTTATTTAAATAATATACATTTGTTGAAACTCGTAGAATCTAGGAGACGTGAATATTGTGCTTTCCTTACGGAGACGTCGTTAATAGCTTTTATGATTTGGTTTTCACTCGATCGATCCAGTGATCGCCGTATGCGTTTGGTATTATTTTACAAACGATAATGAAACGTGAAAAATGTCGCCATTACTAAGTCGAGTTGCAGAGATACTGCAAGGCCGCCCGAGGAAGAGAGAACTGCTTGACAAGTTTGGTTTCACATACTCTCATTTGTCCCTCAATAAGAAAAGAAGCGTAAACGAAGAATGATAGGAACGGTTTACGCATTCAGTACGATGCCGCATCTCCTAATAACGATTTCCTTTCCTCTTTTAGATTTTTCTTTTTTTCTATTTTTTTTCTTTTTTCTTTTTCTTTTTCTTTTTTTTTTTTTTTAGAAAAACGTCGAACATACTACATTTATTTATATCTTTACAAGCAATATAAAAAGTTGAGCATCGTATTGCATCAGTGATTGCATCCTATATAAATACACGTCGATAAGAGAGTTATTGACAAAGTAGTTCAACGCGGTACGTTACAGCCACGGAAATCGTGCAAAAATTAATCCCAAAGACCGTCCTCTCAAATTTAGAAGTCTAACCTTCTTTTCGTGCTTTCGAACACTATTCAATGTTCGATAATAACATTATATATACATATATATATATACACACACACACATATATATATATACATATATATGTATTTATATATATACGTATCCAAGTCTTTGTTTAAAATACGTACATTAGAATTCACAATATCACCGAGTATTACAAACAACTATTTTTTGGTTTAGAACTGTTTTCAAGTACACTGTGCACAGGTCACTTATGTGCACAACCATCGTTGATTATAACACCGTTCTACGTGGTACATGTGATTAATTCAATTATTTTTATCGCATATGGCACCAACAAGGAATATGATTTAATCGTAACGGTGGGTTATGGTGGCGGAGGTCTCCTCTGAGGTTCGGGAGTGTAACGTAGTCGAGCTCGTACGTGTTGAGGACTACCGGGCACAGAATTGCTTTCCGACAATCTTCTTGGAGGAGGTTGAGGTGGAGAGGATGAAACGTACCTTGAAAAGAAAAAGTATTAAATTAAAAGCACTGTTTAAATTTTACACATGATTCAAGCAAATAAAATAACAATACCTTCGAGCAAAAGAAGGAGAGGCTTGATCCACTAAATTCCTTCTAAGGGCAAGAGGAGATTCACCGCGGCTCAATCTCGGTGGTGGTTCCGGCGAAGGAGCACGTTCGCTTCCAAGCCTAAGACGAACGTAAGAAGCAAAACGCTTCTTAGCAGATTCTTTAGATCCACCCTGAACAGGTGGCATAACAGACGAAGGTTCTTGTTTTAACTGATGAGCAAAACGAGAAATTAGTAATTCAGGGCTAGTAGAACCATGAGATCCTTGTGGAGGAGGTTCAGACGGAAACCTGTACGAGAAAAGATTAACATATGTAATACACATCCCATCAATCGTATTGTAACAAATTACGACATTTGTTGTTATTTACCTTTTACGACTAATCATAGGACTACCATAAATATCTTGCGTTTGCGGATGAGTTTGAGGCACAGATGGAATTTGTCCCAATCGTTGTTGAAGAAATGGAGAATAACGCCCACTTTCGGTTGATTGTATTATATTTGGAGGGTCCACGTTTTCTCTCCTCCAAGGTGAATAATCGCGTGTAAACGGACTTAAAGATCTAGAAACACCTTGCCATCTTTCCTTACTGGTATCTCGATCTTCTGTGAAACGTCCATGGTACGGTGAATAAAGTCTACTTCCTGCATCTATTGTACTAGTATCCTGCCGATAAGGAGAGAACGGTCTTCCTTCTTGTCTACCTTGTCCATTAATAGAACAATGATTCGAAGAATAATCCCTATTTTGATCGACATGTTGTCTATATGGTGAATATGGTCGTTGAAAATTCGTTTCTGATGTATCCATATCATTCGACGAAGGAGGAGAAAACGGCCTGGAAATTTCCTTTCGTCTAAGTGCGTATGGACTATAAGATACGTAGTTCGCACCATTCTCACTATTTGATCGTTGATGAAATGGCAAAAAGCTGGAGTTCTGTGAGTCTTTGGTGACACTGCTTCGTAGGAAAGCTGGTATTTCAGATTGAGCCCTGAGATGAGCTGTTTGCTTTAAAGATACATGACCCGTAACTCGTTGCTGCCACCCTGGCAATCTGAAACTGAAATCCACTATGTCAATTTATAATTCTGCATATCATCAAAAATAAATTACTGATCCCTAAAAAGTAGCTTGATTCATTTAAAAATGTCACTGGTATCCAAGATAATTGTATCATGATGATTCTGCAAAAAACTTGAATTTATAGAGAGTTAATAGAAGTTAGAACGTTAATCATAAAATCATGCAACACAAATGAGGATAAAGGAATTTTTACCAAGGTTGACAAAAAGTATCTATACTTAAAAATAAAAAATTAAAAATATTACATGCTAAAAACACAATTAGAATGTTTAACTGATATTTAATAATGATTAAAATAAGAATAAAAATATAAATATAACTAAACTATTTTTGTAATAAATGGAGTGTGCACAGGGAAAAAGTACTTGTGCCACTGGCAAATCGCTACGTAATATAAAGACAAATAAACGAATATTCAAATAAATAAAAACAATGCTTACCATGAGTGGGGGTTGAAAGGTGGGGTGTGTAACAGGCGCGTGCACAAACCAAACAACTCGAAATGAAAATCGGGCAGATTTTTGGATAATTGTGAGGTGTATTTTTTTTAAGTTTTTTGGAATTTATAGGTAAATTTTTTGGGAAAATGGAGAAAGGGGCAGGGGCGAGGGAGATGGGATGCTATGCTGCGCTGCCTCCCTCAAGCTCAACGCTGCAACACAATTTAACACGCACGCAAACTTTTAATCGAAATGTATGGACAGGTTCGTAAATGTCGTTTGGCAATGAATAAAAAAATAAATATATAAAAATAGTATCCAACAAAAACCCAACTTTAAAACTCAGCGTAATTTTTCGAGCTGTTTTAATACCTACCCATTAACCGTGAATGCTGAAGTGTGTTAAAAATTTGTAAAACTAATATATATATATATAATTCGCCTAAACTTTCTAGCAATTCTTTCCTATAATCGTCGAAATCTCCATCAATTTCATTAATTTGTTGATTTTCGATTACATACAAATAACATTCAGTTTCTCTAATTAGTCGCTCATCATGAGAGACGATAATAACTCCGCCCTTGTAATCATTGATAGCGTCGGCTAGGGCATCAATGGATTCTATATCTAAATTATTTGTAGGTTCGTCTAAAATTACAACATTTGGTGCGTTTAAACACAATTCGGCTAAAGCGACTCGCGCCTTTTGACCCCCTGACAAATCTTTCATTTTAATTGTATGTGCATGAGAACTAAGACCAAATGTCCCTAACTGTTTTCTAGCTTTCTCATAAGGCAAATCGAACAATCTCATCAAATATTCTGCTGGAGACTCTTCAGCAGTTAGGTGTTCACCAGAATGTTGATCGAACTTTCCTATCCTCTAAAAATCATACAATACAATTTAATAATAAGAATTTATTGTTTAAATAATGAACAAACTATCTATTTTCACTTACTAATCGATGATTTTTTATTAATTCTCCTTTCAGTGGTTCTAATTCACCAGTTAACAGTTTCAAAAACGTAGATTTACCGACGCCATTAGGTCCCACAATAGCTATTCTAGAACTTAAATCTATACCAAAATTGACATCAATAAATAATTCTTTCTGGCCTTCATATGCAAAAGTCACATCTGAAAAGGTACATTAATTACTTGATTCGTTTTTTTCATAATTCATGGCAATGTATGAATTATTAATAACATACTTTGTAGGCCAAGGATTGGTGGTTGTAATGAGGGTGGTTCAGGAAACCTAAATTTCACTATATAGTCTCTAGGCTTTTGTAACAATTCCGTGGGTGCACTATCTTCTTCTTGTTTCTGCATTTTTGTTCTATTCTTTTCCTGCTTTCTAGTTAGAGCTTCTTTCTGCTTCTTTTCAGCTTGTTTTCTACTTTGACCAGAAGCCTTCAAATCTTTAAGCAATTTTTCTTGCTTTTCATATGCTTTAATCATTTCTTTTTTCTTTTGTACATACATTTTCTTAAACATACTACAATTTCCTTTGTAATAAAATAACTTTTGTTGATCTAAATGGATTATATCTGTACACACATTATCTAAGAAACTCTGATTATGGGAAACAATAAGCAAAGTCTTTTTCCAAGCTTGTAGATAGTTGTCCAGCCAAATAACAGCATTTAAATCCAAATGATTTGTGGGTTCATCAAGTAACAGTAATGTTGGTTCTAAGAATAATGCTCTAGCAAGAGAAACACGCATACGCCAACCGCCAGAAAAATTTTTTGTTGCACGGTCTTGCATAGCACGGTTAAATCCTAGACCAGCTAGAATTCTTCTAGCACGTGGTTCTGCAGAATCAGCACCAATATTTTTTAATTCTTCATACACCTATAGGAGATGTTCTGTTAGCACGTGATAATGAAATATATTTACATGTATACTTTTACCTCTTGTAATCTATCTTGCACAGAAGTGTCCCCTTGTTCTACCAATTCTTCTAACTTTTTACACTCTGCCATTAATTCTTTACATTTTACATCAGCATTAAGTACTACTTCCACAGCTGGAGTGTCATCAGCAATAACTTCCTGTTCACAATATAAAACATCAATGTTTGGAGGAATTGCTAATGCTCGTTTTTCAATATGACGAAGTAAAGTAGTCTTTCCATGACTAAAATGTAGAACAGACATCATATGCTACTCAGATTTTAATTTTATTAATTAAAAACTCTGCAAATGCATACCCATTTGGTCCTATTAGTCCATAACGTCTGCCTTGTGCAATTATCAAACTAGCATTGGTAAATAATTCTTTTCCTTTTGCAGCAATACTGAAATTTTCGACCTTAATATCAACGGCATTTTCTAATTGTTGATTACTATGTTTCTGACTTTGAGTCTGAGAAAGCGTGAAATTTTTATCCAGGTCACTGTGACCCTGACCACCGGTCTTCGTTAACATTTCGATCGTTTTTTCATATTCTTGTTGTTTTTTTAATTTTTTCTTCTCTTTATGTGTTAACTTTTTTCCTGTTTCGTCCACCTCCATATCAGATATCTTCTTTGTGACATTTGAGACATATTTATCGGTTGACATAATGAAACATGCACCAAGTTGTCTAACCTCAATATCCCAGGTTCACACTTCCCCGACATGTGGTTGCACAGAAAGTGTAAAAACACGTGGCGCCATCCAATTCTCCGCATTTCATTGCTTATTGCAGTAACTGATAAGCAAGGTCATGATATTCACTAAGTGAAAAGAAAAAAAAGAAAATAATAATTAAATCTGTATTTTACATTAAACTTTTAAAATAAGAAATTTAATTAATACAAACAATGCAAATATTATATTATTTTTTAAATATTCGTACAGTAAAGCGAACCAAGTATATAATATAGGTTATAATTATAATATAGATAATTGACTACGTATAAATTTTTATTACATTGCGCGAAAATAAAAAAAATAAGGAAACATTCTAGAGCATCATTTTTGGGGGGCATTGTACTTTCTGGGTCTAGACAATTCATTATGTAAACCATTAAAATTGTTTTTCTTTTTTTTTTCTTCGTTTAAAAATAAAGTAAATATTTACAATACAAAATACAATTATGTGTAGAACTTAACAGTATACATCTGTGATTACCCGATTAATTTATATTATTAGTATGAATTATAAGTGTCAGGAAAGAAAAATTGAAACAATTAGTACATTTTACTCTCAGATACTGAAACTTATGCTAAAACAATATCTTTCAATTCTTCATCTACATGACAATTATAATTCATATGACAATTTTCAGTTTCATTATAATTTGATAATATTTTAATCCTACTAAATATGATATAATTCCCGAATTTTTTGAACCACAAATTAAACAACATATAGTATTTAAAACACTAACATTTGTTAATAATAAAAAGTGACGTTATAACAAAAAAAGAACGGATACGAAACAGCAATTGATATATTAAAGAAATATTCGTCCAAGAGAATCAATCTAATGAATAACAAAAAAAATAATTACCCTATAAAAGAAAAATATTCATTGTAAAACTGCTGCGTTCGCGGCTATACTCGGATTGTTAATAACTTCGCCTAAACTTTCTAGCAATTCTTTCCTATAATCGTCGAAATCTCCATCAATTTCATTAATTTGTTGATTTTCGATTACATACAAATAACATTCAGTTTCTCTAATTAGTCGCTCATCATGAGAGACGATAATAACTCCGCCCTTGTAATCATTGATAGCGTCGGCTAGGGCATCAATGGATTCTATATCTAAATTATTTGTAGGTTCGTCTAAAATTACAACATTTGGTGCGTTTAAACACAATTCGGCTAAAGCGACTCGCGCCTTTTGACCCCCTGACAAATCTTTCATTTTAATTGTATGTGCATGAGAACTAAGACCAAATGTCCCTAACTGTTTTCTAGCTTTCTCATAAGGCAAATCGAACAATCTCATCAAATATTCTGCTGGAGACTCTTCAGCAGTTAGGTGTTCACCAGAATGTTGATCGAACTTTCCTATCCTCTAAAAATCATACAATACAATTTAATAATAAGAATTTATTGTTTAAATAATGAACAAACTATCTATTTTCACTTACTAATCGATGATTTTTTATTAATTCTCCTTTCAGTGGTTCTAATTCACCAGTTAACAGTTTCAAAAACGTAGATTTACCGACGCCATTAGGTCCCACAATAGCTATTCTAGAACTTAAATCTATACCAAAATTGACATCAATAAATAATTCTTTCTGGCCTTCATATGCAAAAGTCACATCTGAAAAGGTACATTAATTACTTGATTCGTTTTTTTCATAATTCATGGCAATGTATGAATTATTAATAACATACTTTGTAGGCCAAGGATTGGTGGTTGTAATGAGGGTGGTTCAGGAAACCTAAATTTCACTATATAGTCTCTAGGCTTTTGTAACAATTCCGTGGGTGCACTATCTTCTTCTTGTTTCTGCATTTTTGTTCTATTCTTTTCCTGCTTTCTAGTTAGAGCTTCTTTCTGCTTCTTTTCAGCTTGTTTTCTACTTTGACCAGAAGCCTTCAAATCTTTAAGCAATTTTTCTTGCTTTTCATATGCTTTAATCATTTCTTTTTTCTTTTGTACATACATTTTCTTAAACATACTACAATTTCCTTTGTAATAAAATAACTTTTGTTGATCTAAATGGATTATATCTGTACACACATTATCTAAGAAACTCTGATTATGGGAAACAATAAGCAAAGTCTTTTTCCAAGCTTGTAGATAGTTGTCCAGCCAAATAACAGCATTTAAATCCAAATGATTTGTGGGTTCATCAAGTAACAGTAATGTTGGTTCTAAGAATAATGCTCTAGCAAGAGAAACACGCATACGCCAACCGCCAGAAAAATTTTTTGTTGCACGGTCTTGCATAGCACGGTTAAATCCTAGACCAGCTAGAATTCTTCTAGCACGTGGTTCTGCAGAATCAGCACCAATATTTTTTAATTCTTCATACACCTATAGGAGATGTTCTGTTAGCACGTGATAATGAAATATATTTACATGTATACTTTTACCTCTTGTAATCTATCTTGCACAGAAGTGTCCCCTTGTTCTACCAATTCTTCTAACTTTTTACACTCTGCCATTAATTCTTTACATTTTACATCAGCATTAAGTACTACTTCCACAGCTGGAGTGTCATCAGCAATAACTTCCTGTTCACAATATAAAACATCAATGTTTGGAGGAATTGCTAATGCTCGTTTTTCAATATGACGAAGTAAAGTAGTCTTTCCATGACTAAAATGTAGAACAGACATCATATGCTACTCAGATTTTAATTTTATTAATTAAAAACTCTGCAAATGCATACCCATTTGGTCCTATTAGTCCATAACGTCTGCCTTGTGCAATTATCAAACTAGCATTGGTAAATAATTCTTTTCCTTTTGCAGCAATACTGAAATTTTCGACCTTAATATCAACGGCATTTTCTAATTGTTGATTACTATGTTTCTGACTTTGAGTCTGAGAAAGCGTGAAATTTTTATCCAGGTCACTGTGACCCTGACCGCCGGTCTTCGTTAACATTTCTATCGTTTTTTCATATTCTTGTTGTTTTTTTAATTTTTTCTTCTCTTTATGTGTTAACTTTTTTCCTGTTTCGTCCACCTCCATATCGGATATCTTCTTTGTGACATTTGAGACTTTTTTATCGGTTGACATACTGAAACATGCACCCGGTTATCTAACCTCAATATCCGTAGCTCACACTCTCCCGATGTCTAGTAGCACAAAAAGTATAAAAACACGTGGCGCCATCCAATTCTCCGCATACTTTAGCATATTGCAGTAATTTGTAAGTATAGGTATAATATTCACTAGGAAAAGTGTGAAAATGGATGGAGGATGCAAATGTTACATTATTTTCTAAACATTCATCCAGTAAAAGAAAAAAAACAAAAAATAATGTTGAATATAATTACAATAGACTATTATAGAGTAAAACAGTTGAACTAAATGAATTAGACAAAATAAAAAATATGTTCAGATTTTTAATGTTTAAAATAAAATAAGACGTGATAAAATTGTTTAAATGTGCATATTTTACCATAAAAATGGCGGGAATTCAAGATGCGGAAAAAAAAGCTCGTGTCATTAATTCAAGATTTATAGCTTATATGGAAAAACATCGTATATATGAATTATTTTACGTAAATAACCTATATTGCATGGATATCTTTAATTTGATGGTTTTATTAAAAATTAAAAGTAAACAATGGTCATAGGAAATGGCAACACAATTGATGATTCAAAAGCCCGACGATCATCTTGTATTTATGAAACAATACCTTTATCTTGCTGCAAAAAGACTTGATATTTCTAATATTATCCTTATTGCACCTGAAAGCTTTGGTAAATCGAGTTAAATTTTACTTGTTGCTGAATCAGGATACTGAGTGTCAGAGAATGAAAGAAAATATTTGATATGCACAGATAGAATGGCATTAGCCAAAGTTCTTCAGGAAGAATTAGGTATACATTCTTTGACCCTGAAAGATCTTCGTAACGCTTGCAGTCAGCAGGATGTAAGCGAAATATATTCAGATTTTTATTTCATTCGTCCGAAATATGAATTTTCTTTATTAGGATGGTTGTCGTTGCGACGAATCGAAAGATCTTGCATGTGCAATGAAAAAGATTTTGGAGAGCGGTGTTTTGCATGAAAGCGGATGGCTATTGATTGGTAACAACGTTCTTCAAAAATATTTATTACATGATTACAAAAATTATATACTTACAAATATATATTCTTCTTTCGATTTACTATATAGATTTTCCAAGAACGAAGAAAGAAGCACAAATATTTCAGCGCATGGGAATAATACCTACGCATGTGATACAGCTTATAATTTCGAGCGAATCTGGTAAAAGTGTAGAAAAATGTTATATTTGAAATCGATAAATTAGCAAGATTTTCATTTTCAGAAAACTGGGAAAATATTTGTACGGACACCAATTGTCGACAAACTCGTCAACAGACGAACACTTCGAAAAATTCAAAAAATCGTCGTTACTTAAAAAATTTGCGAGGTTTACGGGAAGTATATGCGCATTATTTAATCGTAAGTCAATCTTTTAATTATAATTAATACATTTTAAAGAACCGAAGCAAATTTGAAAAAAAGCATTAATTTCAAGGAAGTCGAAGTAGGTATTAGATCCATGGATGAACTTGGAAAAGATTGCGCGAAACTAGCAAAAGTAAAGAAACATTGTGGAGCACCGTCACTTTTGCGCATTGCACTTATTGGATCTAGAGGATCTGGTTGCACCACATTAGCTAAATACTTGGCCGAACGATTCAATCTCGTTCATGGTAATTTTAATCTATTTTAATTTCTTATCGTTCGATAATTCATCACGAGTCAACGAAAGTTACTGTTTGTTTCAGTCGATTACGATTACATCGTAGAACAGGTACGTTTACAACAAAATTCTTTGGGTAAAATGCTTCGATTGTTCGAGTGTAAATGGGGAGAGAGACCCAAACCTGAAATTAGAATTCAAATCGTTGAAGTAAGATAAAATTAACAAGTTTAATCTCTTATATCGACGAATGTGTCATAATATTATCATTTTCAGAAATATATATCCGAGTATGAGTGTTTGAAGAAAGGCTGGATCTTGACCGGGTATCCTAAAACAGTAGAAGATTTCAAATTGTTGGATTTGAACCCTACCCCTCCAAATAGGTAATAAATAAGAAATAATAAGAAGCAAGTTCAAACGATCTATAACAAAGCATCAAACATTTTAGAGTAATATTTGTGGAAGTAAATGGCGATATCTGCAGAGAAAGATTGCTCAATCGTCGATACAACATTGTCACTGGAAGCAAGCACAATTTATCGACAACAAATTATATCGACGACGAAGATTGTACATTAGGTATACATCCTAAAGATTTCAGATTGAACGTCGAACGAGATGTAAGAACTATTGTCGTAATCGAACTTAATTCTTGGATCGATGAAATTTCACATTTTTATGATTTTAATCGTTGCAAAATTACAGCTGCAAGAGTACGAAGAAAACGTGACTGATATGATGCAATATGTAGGCGAATCAGCTATAAAAATCGATGGAAACGAAGAGGAAAAGAACGTTCGAGAAAAAGTAGAAGCGAGTATAATACGTCCAGCTCCACCCTGGCATTCAAGGATACCGAAACCTTCATCTGCGGTCGATCCAATGACTATTGAATTTGAACCTGATGATGAACCTGATCGAAGCGTGTTTGACAATATACGACCCCCTGAACCTACATATACCTTTATCTAACTTAGCTACCGACGGTGTTTTACCTTCTGTAAGGGTAGAAAATGGGATGCTCCTAGTACATCCTGTTATCCTAGCACTCAGAGCATCTTGTTTTCGCAACGTCACAGCATATACGTGACGTCACGTATAGATTTTTTAACACATCTAACATTTGGATCTGCTACTGCAACATTTATAATTTAAAATGCGACGTTAGTTGACGTATAAAGTCAGTCGTAAAAGTAAATTTCAATAAGAAATAAAAATAAATAAACATTTGTATTTCTCCTTCGGTAATTTTTATGTTGCTAAATTATCGATATCCTTTAATATTATAATTGAATCTGTGAGCAGTAGAATTAAGGATGACGTAGACGATCCGTCAACCTGTTTGGAATACCACGGCTAGTATCTCGATGTGGAAGTGAACAATGTCTCGTCAAGAAAAGGATACAGTTGAATTAAGGATATCACGCACCTGCATTAATGAGGATAATTGCCTCAAACGCGAAGCATATTTCCGGATCAAGGACGTATATGGTGGGGTAGGTCGTACACGACCATAGAACACACACAGGACCTGCTACGAAGGATGAAATCCTGCTTACTTCGCCCAGCAGTTAGTAAGACTTTGGTCCTTTTGTGGAGAAATTTGTCAAATTGCACTCGATATCCTTCAAGTTAGGAGAACGTCATAAATTCGCTTTAACTATTATCAAGTCATTAACGAGATCTAGGTACGCGGATAAGCGCCGTTATTTCATAATACCATTGGTAATTTCATCAACCAAACAGAAATTAAAGATTTTATTCGAACAGGAAAAATCTGTAAGTGTTTGTGTCCCTTTTTACGTAAGAATGCAATCGATTATTACCCCGACAACGTTGATTTAAGCTTGTATAAAATTCCTCGGTTCAATTACCGATCAGAATTCATTTGCGTGAAACTGTGTAGACACCGGAAGGAAAGGGGAAACCAGAATCGGGGAAAGTAAAATCCAATCGAGTTAAAGTGTAAGAATATATACCTGTATTTAACGTAAGAAATTATTTAAAGCAAAACGATTGCATATAACAATCGTTGCGATATTTTTGCAATTTTAAAATGTTCTCCGATAAATGTCGACCAATTTTTATCTTGTATGTTATCAATGACTTAAAATGACATAAAATTTATTTTTTTCAGACGCTCGCAATCGCTTCACGTTATTAAAGAAATTTGACGGAAGTCATCTCATTAACATATTGTACTTCATTAAGCTCCCAGGATATTTGTATATCTACTATATGCATCCTGATGTTCTTAGAAGTTAGTAAGTCTGCGAGCGCTTTGACGTAATTAATATTCATGAGCGCAATGAAGACGGTAAAGGATAAGAACACGTATCGAGCTATTAGAAGGACTTCAAAAGACGAAATAAGCTAGAGTATCAGGATAGGAGGAAGTAAACGAGGCGAGATAGGATGACCCCGATCCTCGACATTATCCTACTAAAACAGCTGCAATCCTATCCTCCATGGATGTTCCAAGCATGCATTGCAAATGAAGTGCGTACTATGTGATCTTCATACATACGTAGAAATATTTTTTTTCTCTCATGTTACGGATGCATTAGGCTCACATAACCACGCGGCAACCCTCCAATCAGGCTAATCAAGGGTTGTGTCAATCTTCATGAAATTTTGGAAGCTGAGGCATCTACTTAGGGTGCAACGTCACACATATTTCAATATTCTCCAGAATATTTCGTAAGTACCTATCAATATATTTACACTGTATTAGATATTATAATTATTATCAGTCCATAATTTTGATCGTGCTTATTTTCAGCCCCTGTTTACTACCATTTACCCTAAATGCCATTCATCGATAAGCAAACAAACGTCGCATATGTTGTATACGTACAATGCACACGTCAATGTGACACGCGCTTATATCTTACAAATATCCAATAGCACTAGGATATCATGCGAACAGGAATTTCGAGGTCGAATCGATGCCCTTCGAGATCGTCGAGTCTCGAGCTTTCGCATGCTTCCAAATGTTAAGCATTCCGTGGACCAGGGCCTCATATAAGGAACTTCCTTTGCGTCAATCAAACGGGAAGATCCCTTTTCGTCCGAGGAAGCACAGCATCCTACGAGACTCGTCAATGTCCTGTCACTCGTCAACCGCGTGGCGCCAGAAGCATTCCCATCACCAGGACTTCATAACTCTCGGGGGGAATTCACGCGAATCTGGAGAATCTCCAGAACTTCGAATCCCGAGATGGACACGTATTCCACCCCAGCTAGGATACCAGGATGCTAGTAACGATTCGCTGACGCGGATGTCGTCCTCGTGTTTCCCGTGCTTTCTGGAAGACCAACGAGGTAAGATCTTAAGAAAGTACGAAGAAAGACACGTTCGAAATACACCACGAGAAATACGAGCTGTATACTTGCGCGCTGAAATGCATCGAGATGCTAATTACGAGTTTCGAGGAAGAAGGAAATGACCCGCAAGATACGGATTTCTTGTCTGCTGAATTTGTTATTTTTCATTGAACCTGCATCGTCTTCTGTACATCTTAATTTCGACCGTGTATCACAGGCGATCATAAAACGAGTCGCGCATGTCGCCGAAAAAAATTCCAGATATTCGGATGGATTTCCGATAACAGACAACAGAGCTATATGCACACAGTATATATAGCACGCTCCTCTGTGGCCGCGCTCCGGAATGAAACAAATATTGATTCGGTTCAATCGTTCGAGCGGCGTCACGCGAAACTGCTTATTTTTCGTGTCATTAATGTTTGAACGATTGCGCCGAATCGAATAGACTGTACTCTACGAAATAGGCAATCGGCTCGGCGTTCGTTACGCGGTAGAAGATGTTTCACGAACTATAAAAAGGCTTAAATAGGAGCTTTAGTGGATGGAAGCTACGGCCAAAGTTCCGAGCAGCCGAGTTAATGTCAAAGCGGTAACAGGATTTATTTCTCTTTGAGCTTCAAAGCGCGGCCTTATTCGCACACCAGGATACCATCCGAGAAGTAGAGGCACGCGTTTCTATTATTCATCCACCCACAATTGATAGTACAAGACGATCGTCCTCTGACTAATCTCGTAATCCTGTTTGGAACTCGTTCAAAGTTATTTCAAGATGATTAAAATTTTCTTAAAGACCATTACGCCACCGTTCGATATCACCTGAGCAGCATTCAAAATCGTGGCTATTGAAAGTTACACGATGATCGATTCGAGAAAATTTCGTTGTTGACTGGAGATTATTTAAAGGACAATTAAAGCATTTAATTAAAAAGCTATGAGATGAAGTTGTTTAAAAATTCGCGATATAAAATTGGAAAGGAAAATATGGAAAATAAATTTTCGGCGAGTACTGCGAATCGCTTTACCAAGTAATTTTATCTACACTCGACGAAAGCAATTTTACCGAGTTGCGAGACACGCTAGTTCCAAAAATACTGTTGATCTAATTTACACCAGAAAACTTCTGGCAGCGTTAACGACGACTCGTTCGTAGAGAGCGTAACGGTATCATACCCTCGAGCGTGCCTAGTAATTATCTCCACCAAAGAAGTTGGTGGACGACGTTTCACGAACACCGATATAGCTAAAGGTATCACCGAGTTATCGCTCAAAAGAAACAATGTTCGCTGCCTCTTAAAACCCGGCAGCCTCTGGGCGTTTAAGTCCTCAAACCGTTCTAATTGAGGTTCCTCCTCGTTACCGCGAAAGAGTTACCGGAAACAATGGCTGGAACAAGTAGATGACAATTGCACGTAGCAAGCAAGCATACTCGCTAACAAAAGCGTGCCTACCAGCCCTCGTTTTGGCTATCTCTCTCCGTCTCCTTCTTACTTCTCGTCTCGCTATTGTTCCCTTGCTACTACAACGAGCGTCAGCGTCAGGTAACGAGTAACGAAGCGTCCTTCGTGCCTCTCGAGGTATCGAGACAGCTAGCCCGAAACGTTCCCCGGAATACCGGCCGGGAGTAAACTCGTAGAAAACAACCGCAACAAAACCACTGAAGATTAAGTCGTCGGAAAACTACGCAATCGCATCGCGTGCTTATCGGTCGTTTAATTCCTGCAATTATCTCTATCGATCGAATTCCTAAGAAATAAAATAACGATAGAAGATAAAGGAAAATGGTATCTTCCGTATCGGTATTGCAGGGTTGGTATATATATATATATGTGACACTGGATCGCGAGAAAATATCGATGAAATTTATACGTCGACGTTGATGCTTTATAGGAGCAATTAGACGAGAACGTTTCGCAATTTTCGTTTGTTTGCCAAGTTTTAGAGTTGGCGCAAATATTTACTCGAACCATCGTCGTCGACGATAACACCGCGACAACTTATAGGCAAGATCCGTAACGCGAAAGCAACGAAGTATCCGTGCAATTACCGGTGAACATCTGTAATTATTTTAATGATCGCCACGAATCGATAGCATCGAAAGTCTGGCCGACGAGTTTCGCTTTACGAAACTAATTTAATTAGTACTTTAAGCACGACGCACGCGGTCGCGGATAATGGGAGGAGGAGGGACGCGGTGAAAGAGGTGTTGGGGATGCAGAGGTCAGGCTATCAGAGAAATCCTTTCACGATAAGGCCATTAGCGGTACAATTAGCTGCACAGGCTGGAATTTTTAAGAGAGAAGCGAGCTCCGTGAAAAGGTTTCTACCTAATTTCGCGAAAAAGGGTGAAAGAACGAAGGAAACGGATAATCCTTGGGTCGAACACGGTAGAGACAGAGGAATTCGCGGAGTTGCACGGAAGAAAGGGAAAAAAACGAGCCGAAGCCGACTCCGCGGAGAGTTACTCGCCTCTCATTTTGCTCGAGTGCTCTCGCGAACGAGGAAACATTTCAATTAATTACTGCGTAATTAAAATATGAAAAAGTAGTCATTACCCCGCGTTTCCACGTCGGTTACTTGGACAACTTTCCTGCTCGTCGCTCCCCTTTCCCTGGCCCGATCATTCCTTTCGTTCTCCTCGGCAT